CATATACATGTTCTTATGTTGCGTACAAAGTTAGGCCTAATTTTGATCAAAATTAGATTTTTTACGAATTTTTTAAGTTGCTAAAAAATCAGGCCAAAGTCCCTGTACTATAGTACAGGGTCGTCGGCCAAATTTCATCAAAAATTACAAGGTGAGAATTCTTCATTTTTATTACATTTTCTGATGTATATACATGTTCTTATGTTGCATAGAAAGTTTGAGCTGATTCTAATCAAAATTAGATTTTTTACGAATTTTAAAAGTTGCTCAAAAATTGGACTAAAGTCCCTGTACTATAGTACAGTGACTTTGGCCAAATTTTACCAAAATTGAAAGATAGGGAATTCTCCATTTTTATTACATTTCCTGATACCTATACATCTTCTTATGTTGCGTAGAAAGTTTTAGCTAATTCCAATTGAAATTGGATTTTTTTACATTAAAGTTTATTGAAACACCATAGACTATTATACCATTCTTAGTCTGATCACTCTTAGGTCTCTGGTTATATATCGGAAGAGAAGGAAGCCATTGCTCAGAATTACCTCATACCTCAAGCTCGTTCTTCCTCTGGTTTGGAGGATGGGCAGGTCCTCATAGAAACTGATGCTCTCCAGTCCCTCATCAAGTGGTACTGTAGGGAGAGTGGAGTGAGGAACCTACAGAAACACATTGAGAAGGTGCAGACTGCAGACATTACACACAGTCACACACACACACAAGTCATGATAATATTCATAAATGCGTTACATACACATGTACATGTATTGTCCTTTGCTTGTTGAGCTGTTTTATCAATTTTATGTACATGTGCATCTGAATGTACAGTTACTTAAATATTTAGCTAATATTGTATACATGTACTTATACTTGTAATATAATGGTATTCCTTTATTGTAATCTCATTCTCCTTCATTTGGCAGATATTACGTAAAGCAGCTTTTAAAGTCGTATCACAGACACAAATTAATGATGATGAAGCTGAAGAAGATGAAAAGAAACAAGAAACAAAAGAAGAGAAATCTTCTCCCCCTCCTGTCACTGATCCTGTCACAGTCTCTTCCTCTAATTTAAAAGATTTCGTCGGTCATCCTCCTTTTGTTTCCGATCGTCTCTATGAGACCACACCCCCGGGAGTGGTCATGGGTCTTGCTTGGACATCAATGGGCGGTACTACTCTTTATGTGGAGACAGGCGTGGCTGAGGGGCGGGGCCTGGCAAAGGAGGAGAGAGGAGAGGGTGGTATGACTACCACTGGACAGTTAGGAGATGTAATGAAGGAGTCTACTGTTATTGCTTATACTTTTGCTAAGGTAGAGAGAGAGAGAGAGAGAGATGGAAATACTGTATAGCTAGAAAATTTGGTGGAGTAAAATTTTGGCAAATTGAGGTCCATTTGCCAAATTTTTAGTCTTCAGTTTGATAGGGTTCCATAGAAACATGCACAGAGTTAAAATTTTGCTTAAATTTTAACACTCCAAATTTTCTAGCTATACAGTATAATGTGCTTTTATGTAAATTGTGTTTTTCTGTATTATTTTAGTCATTTTTGTCTTCAAAAGATCCTACAAATGATTTCCTTGATAAAGCAAAAATTCATCTCCATGTTCCTGAGGTAGGTAATACTTCATTATTTCATTATCTAACACTATTAATTATTATTGTTATTATTAATTAAAGGGTGCTACCCCAAAGGATGGTCCCTCAGCAGGTGTCACTATAGTCTCTGCCCTCCTCTCACTGGCTATGGATCGTCCAATACGTCAGAATGTTGCCATGACTGGGGAACTGTCTCTCACTGGAAAAGTATGTACATGTACTACTTCTACCTAACTCACAACATGTGCATGTAATATAACCAAGAGTACCGTATAGCAGGATTTATTGATGAAGGCTTTATTTTGACGAGTTGATGATTTAAAATAAAATGTCAAATTTAATAACTGTCAAAAATTTTATACTTTGTGCCGCGTGTACACGAAGGGCACTATTCATCAAATTAAAACTTGCCAACTGGGGAAATTTACTGTTTTTGTCAAATTTTTTACTTGTCAATAAATCCCACTATACGGTACTTCTGCTATAACACATGTACATGTACACTATTTCATGCACCATACATGTAATACCACTGATACTGGATCCTGATTATCATGTACATGTACATGTACATTGACTCCTGTAGTAACTGTGTATTGCATCCAGTAATGTTGCTTAGTTTTTTGTTGGGATTGTTTATCACTTGATGATATCCTTATGTTTTAGTTTTTTAACATTAATTTTTTGTTTCATTAATTGTTAGGTATTGCCAGTTGGTGGTATCAAAGAAAAGACGATTGCTGTCAGTAAAATAAATTTATAATTCCAAAACTTGCATCATCTTTCTCTCTACTCTATACCTTAGGCTAAGCGATCAGACATTAGCTGTATCATCCTCCCTGAGGCCAATAAAAGAGATTATGAGGATCTGCCTGATTACATTAGAGAAGGATTGGAGGTCCATTTTGTTGGTCATTATTCAGAATTATTCAGCATAATATTCACTTCGTGAAACAAAGCAATTCCTTTATAGTGAATGATAATAATAATTATTGAACTATTGTGTTACTGTAATCATTGTATTATAATTTGAAACTACTTCATCATCTTTTGGTAGTAACATTTCAGATGTAAAGTCATCATATTAATCTTGTAAAGGCCAAAGGCGTGGCTAATTAGCTTAGCTAGATGGGCGTGCCTGTGTTCACTTTTTAATCATCAACACTTGTAAATCTGAACTGTCAGCAACAAGTGATGGAAGGCGAAACAAGACGAAGAGTTGGTACTGGTACGTCTGAAGAAGACGAGGAGAACGTCAAGCTAGTTCTACACGATGTTCTTGATCGTGATCGACCCGACTCCCCAGACTCTGAAACAACAGACGAAGAGGCTGGCAGATACCTTATGAAAGGAGCCAACAATAATAATCATAAGAAGTATCCTGATGATAGTAGCAGCGTTGAACCTCTATCGTACAAGAGGCCACACTGGAAGATAAGATACTGCAATGAGAGGTAAGGAGAGAATCCTTTGGTAAAGGTAGAAATGAATAATGACATTATCAGATTATGATCTGGACTTTACACTTTGCTTTACTTCTTGCTTTATGCTTGTACACTTGCTTGTACATATTTGGGTAAACATGACAGTATAGTATAGCGGGAAATTTTGAAGGAATTAAATCTGGCATTTTGATTGCCATTTGCTAGCAAAATAAAATCCACCATTTTGAGCCATTATGCGCATGCTCAATGGCACATGGCCACAAATTTGAAATTCGCCAATCACCAAAATTTAGCACTTCACCAAATTTATCTCCCTCCAAAATTTCTCGGTATACCATATATTATGCATGTACATGTAGGCAAGTAAGAGTTGTTTATTATTGGATTATAAGGAGCAACAGCATACTCTCTCCTTTCTCTCTCTCTCTCTCTCTCTTTATAGATCAAGGAAGATCATGTTGGCAATATTTGTCCTCATTTTGGGAATTATACTAATAACAATGGTGGCTGCTCCAATGGGAGTTTGGGATAAGATGAGTCGTAAGACTTGTGCTGAGCTCATGGATGAAGAGGAATATGCTCCATTTGCCTTTGACCCTGCTAAAGGTAAGAGACTAGGGGATGATAATACAAGAATATGTTAGTCAGTTAATGTTAGTTCATGCATAGTTTTATTAGGAGGCATTTGACCTCATCTTCTCTTTTTGAGCAACTTTAAAAATTTGTGAAAAATCCAATTTTGATCGGAATGAGCTTAAACTTTCTACACAGCATAAGAACATGTATATGCATCTGGAAAAAATATAAAAATGGAGAATTCTTAACTTTTCATTTTTGACGAAATTTGGCCAACGCCCCTGTACTATAGTACAGGGTCATTGGCCTGTTTTTTGAGCAACTTTAAAAATTTGTGAAAAATCCAATTTTGATCGGAATCAACTCAAACTTTCTACACAGCATAAGAACATGTATATGCATCAAGAGAAATATTAAAATGGAGAATTTATCACTTTTTATTTTTGATGAAATTTGGCCAATGCCCCTGTGCTATAGTACAGGGACTTTGGCCTGATTTTTGAGCAACTTTAAAAATCTAATTTTGATTGGAATTGGCTACACAACATAAGAACATGTACATGTATTTCTTTGCTTTCAATTACTATTTATTACTTCCTATAGGTAGTTTCTCCTTGTGTCATGATGGTCAGTCACTGATATCAGGTAGCATTGGTCTAGGCAGGTCCTTCTACAATGAACCAAGAATCAACAGATATAAATACAGTAACGTGACCACACTAAACATCACAAGACACAGTGTCAAACAAGATAACTGCATTAGGATAGAATGGGAAGGTGATTCTTCTACTGACCTACCTCTCCTTGACTGCTTTGATATTAAAGATGGAGTCTCCTGGTATGGTGGATATGAAGTGTTCAATCAGCAATGGCCCATTAACAATGACATGAGAACAATGACTCCTTTTTTACCAAGAGATATAATGCTTCAAAATGCATCACTGGATTGGTTTGGCCCTGTACTACATCCAGTTTGGTATAACTCAAAAGGTGTTGTACTGTATGTTGATGAGGATGTCCCACTACACATTAGTGTTGAGACTAATGGAGACAGTAAGAGGATCTGTCTACAGTCTTTGTTTTATTCTGCAAAATGTTTCCCTGGCTCTTTGGCTTATTCCCATCTCAAGTACACTGTCTGTGGTTTTGAGAATATTTCTCGATCGGCTCAATATTTCCTAAAAGAATCGCTAGCAGTACAACACCCGAACAGTACTCCTTCTATTGATCTGTTCTTGAAACCCATTTGGACCTCTTGGGCGGCCATGAAGACTAACGTGACACTGGATAAGTTAAAAGACTTTGCTAGTAAGATAGTCCCACGCTACCCCATCAGTCAACTTGAGATCGATGATAAATATTCGACTTATTACGGAGAGCTGGCTTTCGATCCGATCAAGTTCCCGCCTAATACAGATATCAATGCTACACTATCAGCTCTTGGGGTTCCTGGTATCTCAGCTTGGGTCCACCCATTTATAGAACCCTCCATCCCTGGGTTTTCCGACTTACTCGAAAATGGGACTTTTCTTCCTGGCGACAATGTGGTGGATGGTAACAGCGTCTCGCTCATAAAATGGTGGAACGGTTACGCTGGGGTGATCAACTTTGCTAGCGAGAGCATTAGACAGTGGCAGGCCCAAAGATTAAATGATTTTGTTTGTAAATATTCTCTAGCTGGCCTCAAGTTTGATGCTGGTGGTGATAGCTACATTCCTCAGTGTATATACATTAAAGGTCTTACCCACCCAGGTGGGTTCAGCAAGGACTATGTTGAATTTGTTGCTAGTCAAAGTTACTCTGATCGGACTGAAGTACGAGTAGGGTACTTCAATCAGGGTCAGCCATTGTTATTCCGTATTCTTGATTTCCGGTCCGTATGGGGTATTGATCATGGGCTACAATCAGTCATACCTACTGTCCTGTCTCTTGGTTTAGCTGGTTACCCGTTCATCCTACCTGATATAATAGGAGGTAATGGATATAACAACACAGAGCCTAGTAAAGAATTATATGTCCGTTGGCTACAGCTCAATACGTTTCTACCAGTCATGCAGCTCTCATATGGTCCGTGGCGTTACAATGATCCAGTGATAGAGTCCCATGCTGCTGAAATGATGAAACTACATGAGAACATTACTACCCAGTACATACTACCTCTCTTTAATGATGCAATGAAGTATAATTATCCACTCATTCGTCCTTTATGGTGGATTGCTCCTAATGATGAGACTGCTCTGAGACTCAACGATCAGTTTCTTGTTGGTGATACTTTATTGGTTGCTCCTGTTGTGACACAGGGGGCATTAAATAGAACTGTTTATTTTCCGGCTGGTTCGTGGAAGTGTCTTGCAAGTGTGTGTTCTGGTAATTCGTTTCAGAGTGGGTGGAGTAAACCTGTTTCTGTTACTTTGACAGATATATTGTATTTTAAAAAAGAATTGTGATTATTTTGTTATTATTGAGGTTATTACCCTTTTAAAAATTATATTATTATTGATCATTTAAATTTCTGTTGCAAATGATTTACTGTACTCAATAGCATAGTCTATAGATCCATTCATCTATATGCGATTGTAGTGTAGCCCAATAAAGCTGAAAAAGGCGTCAAGTGCTGAGCCACGCCCTTTCCAGCCCCACCCTAAACTTGCTGCAAATTGAAGAGAAACAATGGCAACGAAGAGCTCCCTTCCTCCTTCTACTTTGACTATTGGTAGGTAATATTTATATATTACAATGATATTTTATTATTGTAATAGAGCAACTTATTGATGTACTTAATCTGTTAAAGAGATGTGATTTTCCTCAAACAAGATGGCATGAGCTGGGACTGACACTAGGACTACACAAGAACACACTGAACGCCATTAGAAGGAACAATGATACAACTTATGAGTGTTTGGAAGAGTGTCTCTCCCAGTGGTTGTCCAGAGCTGATAATGTTGACAGTAAAGGAGGAGCTACCTTTGACTCACTGTCAGATGCTCTTAAATCTATGAATGAGAATGCTGCAGCTGACAAGTTAGATCAAGAGAGTAAGTTAATATCACTGATTGTATTAGTATTGACTGTGTGTGTGTTTATTCTATAGAACATAATGCTATGATCAGTGGTAATGATATCAAAGGAACCAATGATGTACACAGTACTGCTACTGGTGAGTGCGATTACATTACAAGACTTCTACAATAATTGATTATGATTCACACATTAGTATGCCATGATACAGATACAATAAATAATTTTAAATGAATTAATAAAATATTATTCTTATGGGAAATCATGAATTTTAATTTGGAAGCCACTTTAGCAAATCTTTGTTTTTTCGGCAACAATAGGGCCAGCTCCTCCTACAGGTAATAACAAGCCATTGATTAGAAATCCTCCACTCTCTCCTATTGCATTAATGGATATACCAGATGATAGACCAAAAGTATCTGAATTGATAGAGTTTCATGAGTTATTGATCAAAGGACAACTGGAGGAGTCTGTACCACTGCTTGATGCTGATACTATGAGAAAGATTAGAAATGCTGTTAATGATCATGAAGGAATGTCTCTTCTTATAAGAACATTTGAAGAACATCCAACACTGCTACATGAAATGAGAGTAGCTACTGGAAAAATAAAAGGTAGATCTATAAATATTAATTATTTAGCTAACTGACGTAATCACTAAATGGAATTACTATTAATAGGTTCATCACAAAAGATAAAGTTTCCTCCTCCAATAGCACCTAAGCCAAAATCATTATCACAAAGTGGGCGATCTCAACCAACGTCAATAGCAAAAGTGCCACAGCCACTTTCACAAACCACACAACCTCCACCAATAGCACATAAATCAAGTCGATCTCAAGATTCATCATCAGCTCCACATGATCCAACAGGAACAGTACTGCAAGATAAGGAGGGGATGAAAGATCCATCATCATTCAAACGAATGGAAGAATCAATGTCACCAGAATATAATACAATGAAAAAGATGTTAGCTGATCTTGTTGATCTTTTGGCAGGAAATGCTCCAGTTATTTCTCAATTAAATAATCATCTTTTTTCATCTGATCTCATTTCTAAAGCAGTACATGTTACTGTTGAAAGCACTGCAGGACTCACTCCTTATGATAGAGCTAATAAAATATTCTCTTCAGTACTAGCAACACTTGAGTGTCATCTTAATCCTAACAGTGTGTTCTCTTCTCTCATTATGTCACTACAGAAAGTAGGACTGAATAACATGGCATCTAAACTAATGAAAAATTTAAGTAAGATAAAATAATTTATACCCAATTTAATTACTTATTTTTTAAATTAATTTATAATAGAAATGAAAGGTGGTTTTGTTGATCCTACTTTAGAGCAGCAACCATCAGTCAGTAAAAGACCACTTCAATCAGTGGATGTCACTGCACAATCTCACAGACCACAACCAACAATCATTCATTCACAATCATCTGCTCCTACTACTGTCATTGAGCTCAGTTCAAAGAGTGAAGTTGCTGTCAATATTGGAAGTCTTAATTCTCGTTTTGCATCTCTTGATTCTAATATAAGAGATGAGTTTGAGGAGCTGGTTGAAAAAGGTAGAGTGAAGCTTAAAGCTGTAGCTAGGAGTGCAGCTGCTTATTTAGACATACCAGTTTTCACATTGAAATATGGTAATGTTGATGAATTATTTGATTCTCTTAAAAAGTATTGCAATTTCTTCAGTTGTGGTGTACTTAAACACTTGACAGACACTTACCTTTCAAATACACAAACTGAACTAACTCAATACATTGATAGTGTTGATAAATTCTCAGAATTATCACAATTGAAGCACATACGATCAACAATCAAAGACAAATTGTCATCATTACCAGCAGCAGCCTCACCAACCACTAGTGATCAAACAAAACCAGTTGTTATTAAACTGAATGACAGATGGGAAGAAATGACTCTCAATAACTTTAAAAGAGTTCTTCAGTATTACTTTGGTCATAAAGTAGCTGATATTTCTAGTATAGTGGACATTGATTTCAGCTCAGTTGTTATAACACTGTTAATACCAACCTCACTATCACAGTCTCTTATTGATACAATCAGCAACAAAATGAACTCGATGAGTAAATTAGGAATATCGGAAGTTGCTTTTGACAATAAAGTGAGTCCTTTCAGAAAAGTAGACTATGGCAATTTTGACATTTCACTTCATGAGTCAGTTAAAGCTGGTGATAGTTTCGAAGTATCAATGCTACTGCAGTTAGGAGCTGATCCTAACAGTAAAGATGAGAGAGGAAAGAGTGCAGTAGAGATAGCTAATAAAGGAGGACACACTCAAATAAAAGAAATACTTTTGAGTAGTGGAGGTGAGCTAATTACCGTATAGCTAGAAAATTTGGAGTGTTAAAATTTGGCAAATTGATTTCAAAAGAGGTTTGGAGGTTAAAATTTTGGCGAAATTTCAACTCTGTGTAGTCTATGCTTATATGGAACTCTATCAAATAAGAGACTAAAAATTTAGCGAATGGACCTCAATTTGCCAAATTCGCCGAAGTTTTACTCCACCAAATTTTCTAGCTAGATCTATACAGTATATGATATTTATACACACATCAGAATGCACATAGTGCACAAGTCAGGTTTCCCTTCCTTTACACATTCAATCCTACTTCATTTTTTGATTCTTTTGTTTCTAGTACATGTATTTAGCCTAGCTTGCACAAACATGGGTTAAAAATTTTCATGAACTGATTTGTTTTGGACTGGGCAAAAAACTAACAAAATTTAATCCACCTTAAAATTAAGAAGCATACAGTAATTTGCTTTTGGACATTTATAAGACTAATCAGAATTTATTTTCCTCATCTGGCATTTGCATCTTCAGCTTATGCATATTTTATCACCTATAACAATAACATTGTTCAAAATTTTTAATTATAGCTCAAAAGCAACTGTGTGCTCAAGACTACAAGCCTCCACTCAGTAAAGCTCAAAAGGTTCCTTGTAAAGATTTTAACTATCAAGTTACTGGAGGAAACATTGCTGCTATTGAGTTTGGAACTACATCAGTTTCACTGGCCTGCACAACCAAAGGAGATGATGCTGTCAGTACATTCAGCCTTGATGATGAAGAAAGAATTACCCATGTTTCTAATACTGTCCTGTTTAAAAGAGAAGGAAAAGCAATATCATTGATAGCTTTTGGGAATAGAGCTAGATCTCTGTTTACAACAGGAAGGAAATCTGGAGGCTATGATAAAGAGATTATTTATTCTGAAAAAATTAAAATGATACTAAGAAGGGAAAAGGTAAATTAAAATTATTAAATTTAATTTATTGATTCTTGTAGGGTGTTGACAGACAGACACTGGTTGAGTCATTTTCTGGTGAGAAGTTTTATCTGATTGAAGTCATTGCCTTTATACTGCAGTACTTGAAGGACCAGTTGATAGACCGTCTCTCTCGTACTGTCAGGCCATTGAAGACAACAGATTTTGATTGGGTCATTACTGTACCTCATGCTATATGGGATGCACGAGGAAAAAGAATGATGAGAGAAGCTGCTTATATGGTAAGTGCAGCTTCAATTATTGACATTACTATTGCCATTATTATATTATAGGCTGGTTTGCTAACAGAGTCTAAAAGGATCAGTGAGTTTACTCCTATATCAAGTAGACCACTACCAGTACCAGATGAAGTTAATCCTGACAAGCTATCATTAGCATTAGAGCCTGAAGCAGTAGCTCTTTATAGTCAGGAAACAGTAGTAGAGCAGGTCAAAGGTCAACCATCAGCAGCAGTTATCAGTCGTCCTACAGAGTATACGGTGATTGATGTTGGAGATGGTACAATAGATATCACTGCTCGTGTTGAAGTAGATGGAGGTATTGTAGTCCAGAATGTACCTACTGGCAATGCATGGGGTGGTACACAGGTAAATGAAGAGTTCTCTAAACTACTTCAAGAGATTGTAAGTGATCCTGGCTTTAAAAAGCTTATTGCTTTTGAAGATTGTAAAAAAAATCAAGCTACACTAAATAATATTGTGTACATCGAATTTGAACAGCAAAAGATGCTTTTTGGTCAAGGAAAAATAAAAGAAATTGCAGTAGGACTTACACGAAACTTTGTCAGATGCTATGAGAAAGCTCTTATCACAGGAGTTGAAAAAATGTGTGGCATAGAGTATGATGAAGATATGAATGACACACTTTTCATTGAAGAAAGTGTCACAGAGTCTAAGCTGTTTGGTCCAGTTATCCAAGGCATTATTGATTGCACACTGTCAGCTATTGAAAAAATTGCCAACTGCCCCAATACATTTTACCTGGTTGGTGCTTTTGGAGGGTGCAAGTACGTTCATGAAAAGATCAGTGCTGCTATAGAAAGTCACTATCAGTCTAAAGGTCACAAAGGCACTTGCTCTGTGATACTACCTCCTACTCCTCATTTAGCTGTTGCTGCTGGAGCTGTTATGTGGCGTAAGAATCCTAAAAAACTCAAAGCAAGACGAGCTGATGCAACTTATGGAATCGGAATTGCGGCAATATTTGATCCTATAAAACACGATGAAGCTTTTAAGTATTACAATGAAGAAACCTGCTGTATTGAGGTGTGCAATGCACTTTTAGAGAAAGGTAAGTTAGTTGGGGCAGATCAAGTTGTTACTACAACCATAACTCCAGAACAAGAAGATGCAATAAAAATGAGCATCATCATCTATTCAACACCACATTCTAAAATTCAGTATGAGAATAAGAAAACCAGTGTTACTGTAATTGGTGAACTAGTCATCGATGTTCCTAATGCAGACAACTTGCCCCTTCACAAGCGTGTGGTTGATGTCACACTGGATTTCACTCATACAGAGATACATGCAAGAGCCTACTATCGTGTGACTGGTGAAGAAGTTAAAACTGTCTGTGACTACATTTAAAAACATTATATACAGCCAGCTGTTTGATTTAGCTATTTTAATTTTAATAGTAGCTATTTTTTAGACTTAGCTGAATTTACAATATTATATTAGCCTAGTGTAGTAATAGATTTGACTTTTCAACATTACACTAGAATAAAACTAGCCCCAGGGTCAATATAATGTCAGGACAATTCTATGGCAAAATAGTACTATTGTGAGCACCATTTAATACCAGCAGTAAATCATTATTGTGTGTGTATGTCATCACTTAAAGTACAGCTACAGTGCAATGACACATTGTGCAATGCACATAAGAGCTCAGAATTAATTTTAAAACTATTAATAAACAATTGAATGAGAATGAGCAAAAAAATTAGCATAAACAATGATTATAAATTCACAGTAACACAAATAGATCTATACATGTAATCAGTCAATCATATAAATTGTATTTTATGGCCATTTAAAAAATATAATAATATAAATGATGTTTGTATATCACAAACACAATAAACAGTAAACAATCATTTACAATACTATTTAGTTTTTGAAGCAGTAGAATTATCTAACTTCATTTTTTTAGCTAAAGCCACTGCATGCATAATCTCTTGTTTGAATGCTCTATTAGTCTCAGTGTGAAGAGAAGAGGCTTCACTGGTAGCAGAGTTAGTGTCATATACAAAGAAGAATCTAGTGACTACGTGTTCACTATTGGAGCAGACCCATATGTCACCACTTCGCCTTAATTCTTTACTTGTGACAACTAGCAACGGACAATGCAGAAGAAGTAAACAACACATAGATATGTACATACAAAAATGCATACAAAAATACTCTTGAGTATAAAAAATTGCTTTAAAAAATATTTTACATTATACATTCATTGTAGAATACAAAAACAGTTCTAGATATAAATTAAAATTAATTTAAAAAGAATGAAAACTATTTTTAAAATGAATTTAAATTGATTGAAAATGAATGGGTACATTATTCTTATAAATTAGCTGACATGTATTAATACAATATATTGACTGATTTACCTTCACATAATGCAATACATGTAATGTTGAGCTTTCCTGCTAGTGTCTCCAACTGCTTACCACTGCTACCCTATAGTAATACCTCAACTTTACTTTTTGTGTGTGAAATATCTCTTCTACATGCTTTTTCTGTCTCTCTCTTTCTCACTTTTTTCTGTGATGATGGATCATAATAATATCTGTTACTGTATCCAAATGAAGTCATTGCATGAGGACTGAGGTATATACCACTACCATAGGCAGCACCATTGAGCTAGTAAAAT